AAAGGAGGTACATATGTGACCATGACACAGTAAAAAACATTTAATTATTGCATTAATTATTAGATTCGAAGAAATCGTCCCAAAAGTTGCAAACAATTTATCAGGAAATGAAAAGTTAATGTAACTGAAAACGGTACAGCGCGGCGCATCAAATCAACTTTTCTTTTTCCCTGACTGTTTGAAGAAAAGAATCCATGGATGGGGTTTAGTATTTAGAAAGCTTGAGTATAAAGATTAGGAAAAACTAGATTGATGTAATTTTATCCTTTAACACCTACTGTTATAGATGCAAAAAAATGCTCCTAAAAAGACCTTCTGTAATTTTTCAAGTTTTGAAATCAAACCCCTTTTTTCCCATTTCTAAAATAAGATAACTATTACGCTAAATTAATGGTCATAAAATGCATTATTAAAGAAATAAAACTTAGTTTTAGTTTCTGCATGGTTCTCGGTTCAGAGTTACATGGTTCTCCGGAGACTGATTCTGGAAAACTAACTGAGAAGGTGAGACGGAGAGCAGGAATACAGCTCCATATATGGGAACAGGCTCGATGTAAGACCAGAGAGGATAAGAAAGAAAATAAAGGAAAAAAAATTAATATTCCAGAAAACTATAGGAAGTAAAGAAATTTAGAGGATAAAGGAAAACTGTAGAGAAGGATGAAAACTAGAGGAAGGAGAACTGTAGAGAAGGATGAGAACTAGAGAATAAAGGAGAATTGTAGAGAGAAGGATGAGAACTAGAGAATGAAGGAGAACTGTAGAGAAGGATGAAAACTAGAGGAAGGAGAAGTGTAGAGAAGGATGAGAACTAGAGAATAAAGGAGAATTGTAGAGAAGGATGAGAACTAGAGAATAAAGGAGAACTGTAGAGAGAAGGATGAGAACTAGAGAATAAAGGAGAACTGTAGAGAGAAGGATGAGAACTAGAGGAAAAAGGAGAAGTGTAGAGAGAAGGATATGAACTGGAACTATATGATTAAATCTGCATTTAACGTGTCTGTGTACTTTGAACTGTTAATCCTCTAAACCTTTGAAACAAAATGTTTGAGAGTAGAAAGCTGCTAAACTTTACATGAGAAATGAATTATGAATGAGTGTGGTAATATTTAGGATATATATCTCTAGACCTACATAGATAATGCTGGGTGTCATAGTATACTTTTATTCAAAATTGTGGAAAATATTCTAACTTAAATAGTGTTGAATAAAGGAATTAGAAAATTTAAGTTTGTGACAAATACTCAATTCCTTTATGCGAAAATTCATATATATGCAATTTTGTATAAAAGTTATAGTATTAAACATTCATTTTTCCTTTACAGTCCCTTTAATCTAAGAAAATCTCCCGTCATAGAAGTGATGACTCCTAAAAGAGTTTATATTTTGTGTATTTTATATTAAGAAATAAGACAGGAAATTGTTTTTCTAAATTAAAGAAGATCGACAGAGAAATAAAAATCTGAAAAAATGTTGATTTAATATTACGTGAACCAAGAAAAAATAATCTGGTTCCCAAAAATTTACTTGATTTCAAAGTATTTTTTTCAGAATCAGAGTTAAGAAAATCTAAATCTTACGTAAGCTGTGAAATAAGTTCAGATAATAGCAGAGGAAAAAACACAATCAAAGGTTTTAAAAACTTTGTTAAACTTTTACTTTATAGTTTAAAGTCTTAAATATTGAAACTTCATTGTTTTTTCTCTTTTCATAAATATACAGTGCTCCCCAAAATAAAAAGGTAAATAAAGACACTGTATATATCTGAGAAGTTGTCTTTATTTACCTTTTTATTTTGGGGAGCACTGTATATTTATAAGAAAAATAATTGTCCCTGACTTGCATAATGTTCCGCCTCCAAGTTCTGAAATGTTTTCTTGTTTCTATGTTTTGTGACAACAACGTAGTGTACATATTACAGCCCCCAGGGAAGCGTACTGCACTAAATTAAACTAGAAATACTTACAATTCATTTTTTTCTGATTTTTAAAATGAAATCTGTTCTTACTTAGCCGAAATAATGATGCAAGCTCAAAGATAAAAAACATTTTTACATTTTTTCCAAATCTACAAAATGTGTGAACATAAACCTCACCATGTTTTCTTATGCAAACCAACATGATTAATTAGTCGATATTAGAATTATTTCTCCGGATGCTTAATGAAAATATTCTACGAAGCTTTTATTGATTGCATTTTCAATCTGTCACAAGCAAGGTTAAGTGTGTCCTAAACGAAATGATTACCGATGAAGTTCTAGCACCGAATTCAATCAATTTGCAGGGTTGCTGAACTGCCTACCTCCGGTTCAAATTTGAATTCGGTTCAACGATGTAGCTCTAATTCATCAATTTCGGTCTCTAGATGATCTCCTTTGATCTTCTATAGCTATATAATTACGAGTGTGTATTAAAAATAATGTTTTATTTGGATTTATTTGATAAATATGATCTCTCAACGAAATTGAAAATATCTTCGGGAATTATAAAATCACGAAAAGGACAAACCTGATCTAAGATCAGCCTAACTGAGCAAAGATGAGCTTAGCTAAGCCTATATGCTACGCGTAAATGAGAGTAAACATGAGTTTCTGTAATTTTTATTTTCCATGTTTTTAAACGTATTTCTGTATTTATTGAACCTAGAAACAAGGTTTACAAACTGGATTATAAAAGTGTTATTCATTTTAGTCTCGAACAAACTTTATCCTTTCAACTTATCATCAGGGCTAAAAAAAGCTTGGAAACATTTTAACTGTAGAAATATTTCATTTCAGCATAATAAATAGCTAATTGATTGATTGTAACCGAGAATCTATGAAAGAAAGTCATCGGAAAAAAAGTTTCTGGAAAAAAACCCTGGAAATTAAAATGTTGGTGAAAAAGTCCCAATTTTCTGAAGTCCTAGGACAAAATGTCAATAGAAATAAAGTCCTGAGTTTAGATTCCTGGGACTTTTTCCCCTAAAATAATTTCGAGGCTTCCAACAACGTCTCAGGAAATAATATCACAGGAATTAAAGTCATGAAGAAAAAAAGTCCTGAGTCTTGTAAAAATGAGGTTCAGTCTGCATGAGACGTTTTTATAGAAAGGACTTTTTTTCTAAGCATCTGCATATTGAATATATCCAGGGATGTTTTTTATATCAATTGCCTTTTTTTGCTTGGTTGTAAACATCCTTTGTCTGCATGTATTTTCTACTAAAATAGGACTTTTTTCCGGGAACATTTTTGTATAAAATCCATGGAACCAGAAAAAAGTCCTAGAAAATAAAGTCTCAAAGTGATAGGACTTTATTTCCAAAGATTTTTTATTTCAAGGACTTTTTCAACAGGACTTTTTAATGCCAAAATTTAGAACTTTATTTCCGAAAACTTTTTTCATAGAACTGTTTGGGAGGTTACCGTAACCGAATCTATGTATAAAGTCTCAAAATGGTAGAACTTTATTTCCTGAGACTTTTTATTTGTATGACTTTTTTCCACAGGACTTTCTTAGTGTCAAAATTTAGGACTTTATTTCAGAAAACTTTTTTTTCAAAGAACTTTTTAGGCGGTTACCTTTGTGACCATTGAGGTATTCAACATTTATCTATAAGAACAGGGGGAACACTAAACTAGGGAACCCAGAGTAACCTATGAAACCTACTCCAGAGAAACATAGAACCCGGTGTAATTTATGAACCTGATCCATGGTGGATATTAAACTAAGAACCCGGAGTAATCAAGAAACCTGCTCCAGGGGGACATTAAGAACCTGTAACAGAGGGACATTAAACTATAGAACCAGAGTAATCTAGGAAGAACCGTTTACACATTTATCATCTCTGAAGATTATATTTATTATTAATTGAAAGATGACAGCTAATTTATTCATCTTCACAGATCCAGCCTGAGGAGGGGAATAAATACTATATTAAGAGAGAAACTATGAGACAAGATATCTTGAAAGGTGTGAATGGTAGAAATTTAAAAACAAGAGATAAAACCCTGGAGTTTTAGGAAGAAAAATTTGTAGAGTTAGAGATAAGATGAATCTCAGAGATTCAGGACGGATACATTTTTAACTAAAGATAAAAAATGTAAATCTAGAAATGGTGAAAGTAGTAAAAAAGAAATTTGGAGTAATGATATCAATCCTTTGGCTAGAGACTGAGAGCACGATTACTAAATACTTCGATCTTAGCATTCGGAAAATATAAATTTACTGACAGAACTTTGTGACCTTGTAACTCCTCTAGTCTTTTTACAACCAGGAGTACGAAAGCAAACTTGTTTGCATTTATATGCGGAAAAACGTTGTTTTCCCGTTATATTAGCTCCTGATAAACAGAATTTATGTTTAAAGACATGCAAATTTTGAACTAGATATAACTGAACTGTAGTTTATTGTGTAGAAAGAGGATAATTACATATATACCTCAATTTTAAGAAAAATATATTTCTCTAATCTAAAGCAGAGTTCTCTGAGTTCCTGTTGTATGTAAATATGTAAGACCCCAGGAAGAATTTAATATTCTCAAATACCTTAAAGAAATTAAATATTTACACTTACAACCTGTAATAAAAAAGTAGGGAACAAATAGAAAAAGATCAAGGAAAATCAAAATAAATAAGTTTTTAAGTATGTCAAAATGATTTGAATTTTTAGTATGGAATAAATTAAATTTTCTTCTCTCACACTCGTGCGTAAAAGAAAAGCTATTGGAGCTAAGAGGTCAAAAATTCGTACTTTTACTGTCGCATAATTTTATTTTCTCTCCCTAACGTAAATAAAGCACAACAATCAAATGGGTTCGAAAGGGAAGGCTTCTTGGCTCTATAACCAGCTGAGCACAGAGCGATGAATGGATTAAGAGAGAGAAGAGGAAGGATGAGAGAGAGAACACATATTAGATCTGAGTACCTGGAGACAGGAATAAAATAGAACCATGATCTATCATCACTCACTCCATTCTTCATTTACCTCGAATAAGAACATTTTCTACGTCTAAGAACCTACTTGAATCCAGTCCTGATCCAATCCTGATCCAATCCTGATCCAATCCTGATCCAATCCTGATCCAATCCTGATCCAATCCTGATCCAATCCTGATCCAATCCTGATCCAATCCTGATACAATCCTGATCCAATCCTGATCCAATCCTGATCCAATCCTGGTCCAATCCCTAAATATAGAATTTGATATATATTTAACATTAAGTTTTACCTGAACTTTCTTTAATATTAGATCAAACAATTTACAAAATGGATTCGAGAACTGAAGATAAAAAGATAAAAAGATTTTTTTTACAATATCATAACTTTGAACCATTTTGTGTATAACTATTCTCAATAGATATTAAACCTGAAACCTGGAGTATAAAATAGGAACCTGAAACCTAAATCTGATCCTGAACCTTGAACCTGGAGCTAAACCTAAGCCTAATTTTTTTTATCTTGTCCAGAATCTAAGCCTGGACCTGGACCCTGAGCTGATCCTGAACCTGAAACCAAAATCTGATCCCGAATCTGAGCCTGAACTTGGATTTTTACTTCAACCTAGAGCTTGTATCTGAACCCAAACTAGGTTTCAAAATCAAACCTTAACCTGAACCGAGTCATTATCACTTGGTTAAACCTGGAACTTGGATCTAAACCTAAATCTGAATCTGAAACCTGAATTTAATCCAGAATCTTAGCCTGGATCTGGATCTTTACTGGAACCTGAAAGGCTGGACCTTGTATTTGAACCTGTATCGAGATTTTAAACCAAACCTGGATTATAATCAATCAAATCAAATCTATTCTATCTCAAACATTTCCCTGATTAAAGTCAGCCACCTCAAAATTCAAATCAAGAATGCCCCAATCAAAAATTGAGGCAAATCGGTCCAACATGAGTTATTTTGAACCAAGCATAGTTCACAGATATAAATAGACATAGTACAGTTAATGCGCCCCTGGAAGTTATGTTTCTAGCCTGATAAGGCTGGCCGGTCATCTCTCAAGCCTCAAGTTTAGTTTTATTTTGTTACAGCCAGGCAAGAACAGGAGCAAGAAAGGGGAATAACAGGATTATACGACTGGGGAAGAAAGTAACAGGATCGGCCATATTGGATTCCCCAATCATCAAACAGGAGAAGTTCCATGGAATATACATCGTGTTGAATAAGATCTAATTAATCATATGTGTCGTTATTCCACCTAATCTTGACCATTTACTTCCAGTCCATTTTCAAGTTTATATGGGGACATGCCTTAATTTTCGAGTACACCCTGAGCTAATTAAATTAGGCCAGATTGTTTTGTTTAAATGTCATATCTAGCCGCCTTTGTGTTTCAATTCAGCAATAATCGATAAACACAAACACCTAAATTAGTACACAGCCAGAAAACCGTTCGCGGCATTTGGGAATTTAAAAAAATGAATTGTCTGCTTTGTTTACAAAATTTCCAGTTGATTGTGATAATGTTTAGCGATAAAAGGTAACACAATAATTAAAGATATTTTTTTCCACAACTGGCTTTAAAAAATATTTATTTCGACGTAGAAAGGGGTTGTTTTCTAGATATTAGTAAGGACTATAACGACACCACGAATGCTGTGCCCTTTGATTGTAAATGATTGCGTTTTGCACAGTATGGATATGGAAGGTACTCTGCCGACCCCGGAGCCGGGGGAGCAGAAGAAGGCCCCAGTTAAGCCTGACCCAATTCTCGCGACAGAAAATATGAAGCTCAAGGTAGAAAATCATGGAGCATTCTCGTGTGCTCCAGCCTGCTCAAGTGCCACATCCTTCCTAGATGGGACCTTAAATATTAGTCATACAGGTACAAATAGATTTGTAAATTGTCCTAAAATTCTTGTTGACACAGGGGCACTGGTCCCTTCTGAAATTGCAATTTCTGACAAATTTTTTTTGCCAACATCTAGGGGGGGAACTAGACAAGCTAAGTCCGTAGTTCAGTAAGGTCAATATTATATTTAGAGGAACCGCTGTTGTTTTTCAAAATTGTTCTCTTCCAATCATATTAGGGGTAAAGTTTGAGTCCATTTCTCATCCCAGATTCAGCAAATTAGTGCANATCAATATATTCAAATCCAATTGTCCATATATCAATATATTCATATACCTGAATTCATTATTCAGTCTTCTATAAATGGCGATAAGCCAATTCTTGCCTTTTCAAAATGTTTGATTCTTGTAATTTCCATATTCTGATTTTGTTTTTACATTCGACTGCATAATTTTTTTTCAACAAGAACAAGTGTTATCAGATTTTTTTTTATCTTTATAAAAATTGAAAAAAGAAATCCTTTACAGTTTGCTTTCTTTATCGTATTTTATCTCGAAAATACTAAAATTTGGCGGAATTACTGGACAGATTTTAAACCAATCTACAGTTTTACCCATCAAAGGATGAGACGTCAGAGACAATTGTACAGAATTTATAATTTCAGTTTCCTTATATTTATGATTCCCTGCAACTGTAAACTTGTATTTTTTTTGTCTCATCCTTGAATAAGCCATAAATAGATTATAAACAAGGCAGAGGTCATAATCTAACCTTGGAATCGTATTTAAAGTCTCATCCTTTGTGGGTAACCCTGTATGGTAGATAAGCACAATAAAACTTTTTATCAATAAAATAAAAAAGGATTGAAATGAATAATTTATTTTAAACAATAAAATAACATTATAAAAAAATATTCATTGTTGTACAAATATTATATTTTACTATATAGAAAACATGACTTGAGATATCCTAGGTTGCTGAGTCCTTTTTCAGGGTTTTTAAGACATAGTTTAAGATTTATCAAACCTTGCTCTGTGTTCCAAAATAACATAGCTCAAGGTTTCTGGAACAGTTCTGGGTTCAAAAAACTATTCTCTGGGTTACTGGAACTCAGTCCAAAACTACAAGTAGGAAATCAGGATTCTGTCATAGGTTTTCTAATAGTTTTCAATCAAGGATCAGATGGCAAAGACGTGAAATAAATAAATAAATTAACTAATTAACATATCGATTCAAAAAACAAAAAAAGTATTAATAATTTATAACAAACACAAAACAACAATCAAAAGAAATGCTGAGACGTTTGGATCTTTGAACTCCTTTTGTTCTACTCCAAGGACAGATCCAAGGCTCTAGGACTGAAAATAATAATGTAAAAAAGTTTTATGTGTAATTTAGTTTCATTTTTAAATTTAGATTGTAGATATATTTAAGCACGAACATGTAACAAATTCCCAATTGCAAACCCACGCCACGCCCCCTTGCTTCTAGAAATCCCTCCCTACGCTAAACTAGATGTCCTGATTAAAAGTTTAGTGAGTATTAACTTTAAAACCAATTTTCACCCATCAAATGTAGATTTTCCGTATTAGTTTTATTTTTAACTTTTGCGTTGCTTTAGTCTTAAAATATTAAAATATGAAACGTATCTTACGCTATTTTTCAAGAATTTTGAAGATTTATTTACAAGAGATCAAAATATGACTGAAAAATCCCGAAAAAAAGGATGCACTCCGTTTTACATTGCCCTTTTAACTGAACTCCACCCCAAGCAGCCCCCCCCCTGCCAACAAACCTGATCTTGCTAAAGACCTTCTCGTTGCACTTGAAGTTGTGGCAGGTTCCTGGGAAGTCTCGACCAATCTGACCAGCTTCAAGTAGTCTTCTCTTGTAATCCTGCAGTATGATTACTTTTTAGTTAGTGTAGTCTCTAATTTTGTTGATTTAGTGTAGTCTCTAATTGTGTTTAGTTAGTGTAGTCTCTAATAATGTTTAGTTAGTGTAGTCTCTAATTATGTTTAGTTAGTGTAGTATCTTATTGTGTTTAGTTAGTGTAATCTCTAATTGTGTTTAGTTAGTGTAGTCTCTAATTGTGTTTAGTTAGTGTAGTCTCTAATTGTGTTCAGTTAGTGTAGTCTCTAATTGTGTTCAGTTAGTGTAGTCTCTAATTGTGTTTAATTAGTGTTTTCTCTAATTGTGTTAAGTTAGTGCAGTCTCTAATTGTGTTTAGTTAGTGTAGTATCTTATTGTGTTTAATTAGTGCAGTATCTAATTGTGTTAAGTTAGTGTAGTCTCTAATTGTGTTTAGTTAGTGTAGTCTCTAATTGTGTTTAATTAGTGTAGTCTCTAATTGTGTTTATTTAGTGTAGTATCTAATTGTGTTAAGTTAGTGTAGTCTCTAATTGTGTTTAGTTAGTGTAGTCTCTAATTGTGTTTAGTTAGTGTAGTCTCTAATTGTGTTTAATTGCTGCTCAAATCGATCAAATAATTAATGTAAACAGAAAATAAATACGTGACATTTGGTAATAGAAAAGAACTTTTAGCTTAAGAAATTTGTTAACAATTTAAAAAGAAAATTGTATTGAAAATTCTATTAATTATTTGCAAATGGATTCACTTTTGCATTTTTTTAAATTCTAAATATTCTTCTTTATTAAAAAATGTTAGTCAAAGTACAATTGCTAATTATAAGAAATGCCAAGAACTTTTTTGGATAAAAAAGTTTGGAAATGGAACTTTTCCATTTTTTCGTTAGAATTTTATATAAAATAGTTGACAATTTAAATGTTATTTTTTACCTTTGAGATATACTCGTTCTCCATCAAGGTTTGAATGATTCTAAAATTAAAATCGTATATTTGCAAAATTAAAACGAAATAAAAATGAATCTCAGGGACCCCATTGAAACTTTGAAAAATGGATGCTTAGTTTTCAGAAACTGATCTCCTTAAAATCCAACAAAAGTTTAAAATGTGAAAAATGTGTGCTGTTATTTAAGTTGTAAAGAGTTATTTGCAAATCTACATATTATTAAACCTTGGATTATTTATAAAATCAAATTGTTAACGTTATAATGAAATAATGCAGATTTTATCCTTTTATAAATTTTGATCACATATTATCAAACCGTGGATTATTTATAACATCAAATTGTTAACGTTATAATGAAATAATGCAGATTTTATCCTTTTATACTTTTTGATGGGATATACAGGGTTACCCGCAAAGATTTTAAGACTTCAAGAGATTATCATACGGAATTTATACTGTTTGTTTCTTTATATTTACGATTTTCTGCAACTATAAACTTATTTTTTCTTTGCCAAATCATTAAATAAGCCATTAAAACCCTAGATTTAAGGCAGAAGACTAAATTTAGCCATATTATGAGTTACAGTCTCATCCTTTGTGGGTAACCCTGTGTGTTACAATCATCAAATTCAATTACTCTTAGATCATATACTTACATTCCAGCCACTTCCTTCTCTCTAGGTTGTAGTTTAAGCTTGGTATCGTGGAATGTACACATGAGCATCTCCAGGCAAGCAGATACTGTGTGAGAGTTTCCTGTGTTCTGTACCTCACCACCACACTCCAGGTACCTGTACAGTACATAGAGTTGGAAGTAGGTCTTTGTACATAAGCTCCAGAAGTATATGTACAATGTAAATTGTACATGTGAATAATTGATCTTGATCTCAACAATCTTTAAACTTTTTGATTTTTTTCTTTACTTTTCATAAAAATTGCATCCGTTGACAAAAAAGTATTAAAAAGAATAATCAAAAGATGTTTGTTAACTAGGTCAAATTGGGATCGAAAGTCACAGCTTGCTGAAACAAGGGTCGAACAGTTAAATGAACCATAGGATGTAAAAATACTTTAGTCGTAATGATGATGTAAAAACTGATTTAAACAAAAAATTGGAAAAATATAAAAAAAATCAGTAATCGTCTCAAACTCTTATTTTCTAACTCCTACAGCTTTTCAACCTGACTTTTTGATCAAGCCAAATAATTTGAAGTTTGCAAAAGTAAAAGTTGACGATTTCAGGTTAAAAAAAGGATTAGAAAATTAGAGAAATCGGATTTTGAGTACCTGGCGATCATATCTCTCTGAAGAGCAAGGTCCATCTCTAAGCCATGAACATCCAGGTAGGATTGTAAAATCTCAGCCTGCTTCTCACCCAGGGTCATGGTACCGTTCACATCCCTGTCAAATTTACAGTGTATATACAGTGTATATCCCTGTACAGTTTACAGTGTACACTACACAGTATACATACAGTACTTATTCCTGTACCATTTACAGTGTAAATGCAGTGCATATCCTTTTACAGTTTACAGTGTACACAGTATACACACAGTAATTATTCGTAACATATCCCTTTACAGTTTACGATGTCAATACAGTACATGGGTCATATTACCGTTCACATCCCTGTACTGTTTACAGGGATGAAAAATAGACGACACTTATTTGAATCAATTAAAATCAAGGATCGTATGTCATATAAGGGATTTGATTATACATGCTTTGCAGACGCTACTCCATTTGAAAAAAAGTTGTTAAAAGGTCGTCTTTTAATTCTTTTAATGCGATTTTTTATTATACCAATTAAAATAAAACTGATTTTTCATATTATGAAAGAATACGTTTGTAATGCCAATATTTTTGCATCCCAAAAAATGTTTTTGTTTGGCGTTATTCTGTCTATTTTTTCCCTGTGTAATGTATACAATAACCTATTCTGATTACATGTACGGTATTTGTACATCGGAGACCGTTCCTTCCAGAAACTACATTGGTCGACAACTTGACGTCTCCTATATTGGTCGTCAAGTGTACGAAGAAATTTTCTATCTATCAGATAAGAATTTAGCATGAGACATCTATCAGCCAAAATATCATCCCCCAAAGTACGTGAACTACACGACCACATTCTATAGAGAGAATGGGCTCTGGAGTCTGGACAGAAACATCTCAGGGAAGAGGGAGAAGAAAAATGGAATATTTAGACTTTTTCCAACTAACCATACANGGGGGGGGGGGGGGGGCGGACGTACCCCCATGTGATCCTCCAGTAAGGTCTGATTTTTAATCAACATATAACATTTTCAAAGATGAATCAGTGATTGTTTGGTCAAAAAGCTTAAATAAAAGTGCATCTTATAGTTTTCTAGATCCCCTCCCACCTACAGAAATGCACCACGTTACAGCCCTGCAATGTCCAAAAATTGAGGCAGGGTATAATTAAGACACCCGGTATCGAAAACCATTTTTCATGAATATTATTAGTATTAATATCATTGTTAGCTAAAATCTACCTAAATATATGTAAACACTCAAAAATAAAATTCTAGAGATTTCCTTATTCTCTTAAGTATACGGCTCTATGACTAAACCAATAAACCAGTATAATAGGAATCCGGATATTTAGATCAGCAAATCTCTGAACTTTGATAATAATCTGTCCAAGAACCTGTGAAATATATAAAAATATCAAACCTCTTTTTCCTTCCTCCGACTAGTGTTGTTGTGACAGGTAGAGTTAGAGCCAGGAGACCTAGAGGTATAGCTAGAGCTGCAGCCAGGGGAAGGAGTAAACCAAGATTAAATCCTCCTGCCGTTGTAGTTTGTCTGTACACATAGATTGGAGCATTTCCTCCTCCTCCACCTCCACCTCCATATCCTCCTCCTCCGCCACCGCCTCCACCGCTGTATCCACCTCCACCTCCTCCACCACCTCCTCCTCCGTAGCTGCTTGAGATCCCTCCGAAACCTCCTCCTCCTCCGCCTTCGTATCCGCTTGAGCCGCCCCCTGAAGGTGCTCCATACTCCGAACCTCCTCCTGATAGTGCTCCATACTCAGAGCCTCCACCTGAAGGAGCTCCATATCCACTGGAGATGCCTCCTCCTCCTCCTCCTCCACCACCTGATCAAAAAAAAGAGTGAATTTTTATGGACGTAAGTATTATCTGTTTTAAAATTTTACCTCCATGTCCTCCGTGTGCTCCGTCACCCAGACCTCGGCCAACTAGTAAACCTACTAGGGCGACCTCTACCAACATAATTATCTGCGAAAATCATTGATTCAAGACGATTTAGAATGTCGTCTTCATGGTCTCTGTAAAGTGACCATGAAGTCTTGAAAGTCTTGTTCAAAATATCTAAATATAATGAAATTTATTTTTCGCACCAATAAAATTCAAATTTGGATTTGACGATGATCTAATAAAAAGGAAACAAACTCAGCTCATGATAATTTGCAATTATTGCTTTTTTAAAGACAATTTTCATTCCTTGAGATTTATTTCTGTCTTGAAGAGTGAATTGAGGCCAAAGGGAGTGACCAGCAATGTATGGTAGTTGCACTGAGAATGTAGTCTTGTGAAGTAATATTTTAAAATTCATTCGAGACATATAAAACGTTTTAATGATGTATAATTATTGAGTTTGAGCGCAAAGTCGAAATCATCAATTTGGATGGTTAAGTTTTGAGAATATTTTTTTTTTAAATTATCAAATAATGACCACAAAAAATGTAACAAAAATTCTACAGTAAACTATGTAGTTATTAGTTTCTATAATCCCTCATTGTTCACAAACATTTTCTGTAGATTTTTGTGGAATTTTTATGGAAAAGACGACATTTGAAGAATTAATAGAAATCTGCGAACAAATTCATAAAGAATAAGAAATTCAATATAATGATGAAAAAGAAATAATTGATTCTAACATTGATTTATTGACAAACTTCTATTGAGAAAATTGTTTCTAAACATCTAATTAGTTTAATGTAGAATTTTTAATACATTTTTCATAGTCGTTATTTAATGATTTAATACTACATTCACAATTCAACCACCATACATTGCCGGTCACTCCCTTTAAAAAGAATTTAATCTTTGCCACAAACACTATTTTTCTACTCCCTATATCTTAGCTAATTCAAAATTTATTGAACAAATCACGTTTACTAAAGCAAATCGAACGTATGATTGAAATTTTATATTTTTTCAATCATAACTCCTCTTATTGAAGAATTATTGAAAAGAACCAAAAAGTTTTAAATTTCTAAAAAGTTTCCGAATAAAGAAATTGAGTCTTTGCCACAAACTCTGATTTTCTTATCTTTAGATTTCAACGTCGTAAACATTTCAAACGTTGACTTTTGTTAGATCAAATAATATAAGTTTGAAATATCAAAGGTTTACGACATTGGGTTCCAAAGATATTGAGATTAGAAAATCAGAGTTTGTGGCAAACACTCAATGCCTATGATGCTCTAATAGCTGTGCGTAAAATTATTACTAGAGGAGCTATGATGTGCAAAGTCGGACCAGTATTGTTGCACAAAATTGACCTTCTCTGTCTGTCTAGTTGAGTGTGGTACATATGGGTTCGAAAGTGAATGCTTAATGCCTACTATATCAGGACCCCTGTTTCACCGTGGTTCATACTCCTATTAAATCTTTTCGGAGGTATTAAATAAGATTGGTTGGTACCTTCTTCTTTTATTGATGTGTTTTTATACAATGCACTTTCTAGCATTTCTTTCAATACAAGGGATACATGTTCATTTATCATGATAACAGAATACATTTATATATATATATCAAAAATATATTATATTTTACAAATGTCATAAGTCATATACACAAATACATCAATATATATAATAAAAAAAATATTTAATGGGTTACCCACAGAAATGAGACTTCAAAGACGACTGTATGATTCTTATATTCAGGATTCCCCGGAAAACGGTATAATTGTTTCTTTTTGCCAAATCAAATCTAAAAGGCCATTAGAAGCCGATATTCTAGGAAACTAACTTAATTTAACTAACTTGGGATTGTTAAATTTCAAGAGTTCCAGGTCGTCTTTACAGTCACATCTTTTGTGGGTAATCCTGTATATTCTCAGTAAACCATTGCTTTTATTTTTTTAAAACCTCGATTGTGGGAACTTTTTAACTTAATATAATTTATATATATTAAAATACATCTTATTTGTATCTGTGTTTAGCTGTAGGAGCTATATAATATGATGGGACTTGAAAGAATTGATTAAAGTTTGAAACACTTGTAAAAATCATAAATGATAAATATACGTGGTTTTTGTTATCATGTGGGTTTTTAATATTTTCGTTGTAAAATAATCTAAACCTTAACAAATTAATCGTTTTTTTTTAACATTTCAGAAAGAAAACTACAAATTTTAACTTAAACTGTTAAATAAGTTTATAAACTTCATCTGTATGCTGAGATTAAAAAGTTGAAGTTTTCATTGAAGTCAAAATATGTCTAAGTTTTTCTCCGGATCCTAACTCCCCCCCCCCGGAGCAGGAGCTCGGGAGATCTTAACACCTTGATATTTCAGATCGAACTGATGAAAATATAATGATCATGTGTTGTTAACAACATCACATACACTTACTCATTCAACCTTTCAGGGGCACAACCAGGATCAACCAGGATACACGGAGTAAACTCAGGGGCACCACCAGGATACAACCAGGATACACGGAGTTGGCTCAGGGGAAAAACCAGGAAACAACCAGGATACACGGAGTTGACTCAGGGGCACAACTAGGATACAACCAGGATACACGGAGTTGACTCAGGGGCACAACTAGGAAACAACCAGGATAAACGGAGTTGACTCAGGGGCAAAACCAGGATACACGGAGTAGACTCAGGGGCACAACTAGGATACAACCAGGATACACCGAGTAAATTCAGGGGTACTACCAGGGTACAACCAGGATACACGTAGTAAACTCAGGAGCACCACCAGGATACAACCAGGATACACGGAGTAAACTCAGGGGCACCACCAGGATACAACCAGGATACACGGAGTAGACTCAGGGGCACAACTAGGAAACAACCAGGATACACGGAGTAGACTCAGGGGCACTACTAGGATACAACCAAGATACACGGAGTTGACTCAGGGGTACAACTAGGAAACAACCAGGATACACGGAGTTGACTCAGGGCACTACTAGGATACAACCATGTACAAGGAGTAGACTCAGGGGGACAACTAGGATACAACCAGGATAAACGGAGTTGACTCAGGGGCAAAACCAGGAAACAACCAGGATACACGGAGTTGACTCAGGGGGACAACTAGGATACAACCAGGATACACGGAGTAGACTCAGGGGCACAACTAGGATAAAACCAGGATCCACGGAGTGGACTCAGGGGCACAACCAGGAAACAACCAGGATACACGGAGTTGACTCAGGGGCACTACTAGGAAACAACCAGGATACAACCAGGATACACGGAGTTGACTCAGGGGCACAACTAGGATACAACCAGGATACACGGAGTAAACTCAGGGGCTCTACCAGGATACAACCAGGATACACGGAGTAAACTCAGGGGCACCACCAGGATATAACCAGGATACACGGAGTAAACTCAGGGGCACCACCAGGCTACAGCCAGGATACAAGGAGAAGACTTAGGGGCACAACCAGGATACAAGGAGTAAACTCAGGGGCACTACCAGGATACAGCCAGGATACACGGAGTAGACTCAGGGATACAACCTGGATGCACGAAACAGACTCACATACTTGCATAACACTAATCCTATATCTCTACTATTGTTTAGCACTAAAATATTCTTTTAATCCACTTGCCACTAACCTAACACTAATCCTATATATGTATTAGTAAAGCACTAATCCTTTATCTCTTACATAACACTAACCATATATATTTAAATGCATAATACTAATTCTAAATATCTGGTTATATGATAACACTAATCCTATATGTCTACTAGCATCTAATCATATTTGACTGCTTGCATAACAATAATCCTATATATGTACTAACATAACACTAATCCTATATATGTACTAACATAATACTAATCCTCTATATGTACTAACATAACATTAATCCTACATATGTACTAAAATAACAATAATCCTATGTATGTACTAACAAAGCACTAATCCTCTATATGTACTAACATAACATTAATCTTAGACGTCTACTAGTATAACACTAATTCTATAAATCTACTCACATAACATTAAAATCCTACATATCTGCTTTCATACCACTAATCATTTGATTTTCTACATATGTATGAATGGCCTTTGATCCTTTATATCTACATAAATTACCCTGAACCCATTAGCGACGAGAGGGTTTTTTTTAAGTGCCTTTTTTCTTAATCTAAATGTTGTCTTGTCTTTTCCTGCGCTTTCCTAAGGATTTCCTGTTTTCAAAAATTGTTTTTTTTTTTAAATTTTCAATTTCAAAAAACCCAAAAACACAAGATTTTGAATTTGGAAAAAACCCAAAAGAACACCCTGTAATTTAGTTTTGAATCTATAAAATTGTCAATTTTTTAGCTAGAAAATATATAAAAATATTTTTTGAATCTTCTTTTAAAGATCTAAAAAATTTAATTGAATATCATTTTTTCAGGAGTACAATCAAGTTTTGTTTTGAAAAGATCCTTCTGAAACTACTTCACTAATAGATAATGGTCTCGTCACTAATGGGTTAATTTTCTGTATCTGTATGAGCTCCCTGGATTTGCATCAGTAGCCCTTGATCCTCTACGTATCTGTATCTATGTATTTGCATAGTTCTTGATACTCTGTATCTGGATGAATGGCCTTAGAGTCTCTTTATTAGTATATCATAGCACTTGATCATCCAAAACTGTATGTTTGATCCTCTATATCTTCAAGAATGCTCCTTGATCCTCTTTATCTGCAAGTATGGTCCTTGATCCTTTATATCTGCAAGTATGGTCCTTGATCCTCTTTATCTGCAAGAATGGCTCTTGATCCTCTATATCGTCAAGAATGGTCCTTGATCCTCTTTATCTGCAAGTATGTTCCTTGATCCTTTATATCTGCAAGAATGGTCCTTGATCCTCTTTATCTGCAAGAATGGTTCTTGATCCTCTATCTCCGCAAGAATGGTCGTTGATCCTCTTTAACTGCAACAATGTTCCTTGGTCCTCTTTATCCGGTAGAATGTTCTTGATCCTCTTTATCTTCATGGATGGTCCTTGGTCCTCTTTATCCGGTAGAATGTTCTTGATCCTCTTTATCCGGTAGAATGTTCTTGATCCTCTTTTTCTTCAAGGATGGTCCTTGATCCTCTATATCTGCAAGAATGGTCATTAATCCTCTTCAGCTACAACAATGGTCCTTTATCCTCTATATTTTCAAGAATAGCCCTTAATCCCCTTTACCTGCATAATTATGCCCCTTTATCCTTTATATCTGCAAGAATCCTAAATCATCATGATCCCGATTCTGAATGATTGGTCCTTACATATATATATATATCATAATTAATAGCACTCGATCCTCCATAGCTGCAAGAATGGCCCTTAATACTCAATATCTTCAAGACTGGTCCTTGATCCTCTATATCTGCAAAAATAGCTCTTGATCCTCTATATCTGCAAAAATAGCCCTTGATCCTCTATATCTGCAAAAATAGCCCTTGATCCTCTATATCTTCATGAATGGCCATTGATTCTCTGTATCTTCATGAATGACCCTTGATCCTTCATATCTACATTAATGGCCATTGAACAACCATATCTGCATGAACGGCCCTTGCTCCTAGATATCTACATGACTGGTCCTTGATTCTCTTTATCTTCAAGAATGGTCCGTGATCCTTTATATCTCAAGAACGGTACTTGATGCTTTTATTTTCAAGAATGTTCCTTGATCCTTTATATCTGCAAGAACGGTCCTTGAGGCCTTGATCCTCTTTATTTTCAAGAATGGTCCTTGATCCTCTTTATATGCAAGAGTGGCCCTTGATCCTTTATCTTCAAGAATAGTCCTTGATCCTTTTTATCTATAAGGACGGTCCTTGATCCTTTATATCTGCAAGAATGGTCCTTGATCCTTTATATATGCAAAAATGGCCCTTGATCCTCTTTATCTGCAAAAATGACCCTTGATCCTCATTATCTTCTAGAATGGTCCTTGATCTTTTCTATCAGCAGATTTGGTCCTTGAACCTTTGAATCTGCATGAATGGCCCTTGACTATTCATAACTAGCTGTAATCCTGCATGCATGAATGGCCCTTCTTGCAAATGAAAAGTCGCAGATGACATTGTAATGTTTGTATACGGTTTGTGTATAGAATGTGGATGACTGGACGGATGGATGAAAGGGTAGGTTTAGCTCTATCCAAACTCTTTAAAAACGTGGATATCCAGCATGGTGCTGTGAATAGTAAATTAATTAATCAATTAAACTAATTAAGTCAATCCTCTAAGCTATTGACATTAGACTGATAAATCTCAGCCCAAATTTTGGACTATAACATACGAGGATTTTTTTAATGACGTTTGACAAAATGGAGTTGTTTAAGTTTTAAAAAGTTTTCTCAGTCATTATTAGATTTAAACCCAATTTTCAACAATAATTAATTAGTTATTTTTTCTGGTTTCGAACTTTAATTGTTGTTGTTGTTGTTGTTGTATGTACTTTTTGAGTTTTTCGTTTCCTAGTAGTGTAAAGAGTGTAAGTAGTGTAATACAATCGGTAGCAACATTTTTTACGCCCAATTGAAGGGGGTAAAAAAGGTTTATAAAACTGTTGTCTCTCCTGATTAGCCTAAAGTAAAGTGGTTACCAGGCTAAAATCCAGGATTTGTCATGGTTTTGAGCAAGGTACTAATGCAAGGAAAGTTAATTGCGGTTGCGTATACTCTGCGTATATTGAAACCAGTTCTCTCTGGGCGGACTTTGTAAATAACTTTCCTTGCATTAGTGCCTTGGTTTTGAGTTTGGTGTTTTCTTGTGTGCAAAGTGTCTATGCATGAATGGTTGATTTGACTATTTTTTAACTCTAGGACTCACCCTAGTCTAAAAGTTGCATGATGCGTGCCAGTAAAACACGCACTGAATATGCAGTCTGTTGTACCGTCCAGTCAAGCTAACCAGTGTAGAGTCGAACCAGGACGTTTTATTCAAGAAATGTAGCCTGGCTGGGCTACAGCGGACTGGGTACGTTTAGGCTGTTTGTTAATGCTAAGTTAAAATCGTTCGAAAATCAACCTTTTTGTTAAACGTTTGTTTTTTGTTCTGTTCAGAACGTTTTGTTCGCCAACGGTTTTTCTATTCTTTCACAAACTTCCCGTTCGTTAACGATCTCAATTTTATTAACGGCGTAACGCAAGATATTTTCGAAATCGTTACTGATGGCTCGTTAACGATTATTTATGTTAAAATAGCTAACAAAATTTGAAGACAACATTTAAAAAGCATCAAAATACGTAAAAAAACGAGCAAAATACATAACATAAATTTTTTATAACTTATCTTTTTATTTAAAGGTTTAAGTGAAACTTTGAATAATACTTGCTTAAAAAAGTCATGACATTTCCCCGTTAATCTGTATCTCTAAATTGAATATGGAATATGGACAGATCTCAGCCATATTCTGTCTGAGTCTGGAATATGGACAGATCTCAGCCATATTCTGTCTGAGTCTGGAATATGAACAGATCTCAGCCATATTCTGTCTGAGTCTGGAATATGGACAGATCTCAGCCATATTCTGTCTAATATCTCATACAGTATATGAAACACCAAATTCATAACTATTTATTAACTGTCATGTTTTGTGGGACACCCTGTATCTTTAAAGAAGTGTAGACTCTGAATTCAATAAGATTCCATAATCTTAAAAATTCGTTAATTTTTTAGTTTTTGTTTTCGGTTGTTTTAAGTTAAAGTGTTGCATAATTGGTATCATTTCACTTCAGCCATTCTTTCTAATAGGGGGTTTATACTTACACGACACCTTCATATTAAGCTATCGAAAAGTTAAAGGTAGTGTTCGCAAAAACTTTTTTTTAATGCATAGCGCGCACTTCTGTATGTCGAGTCCATTAGCGCCTGATCCAATCAGGGTTCAGTCATGTGTTTTTTGTTTATTCTGAACCAATAGAAATAGTATGGCGGAAACATATATCTTTTTCCTTCTATTTCATTATCCAATTAGAGTTATGAATCCTTCAATCGGCGCTATCAGTATATGGAAATATTTACTTCTAATGAAACTATAGTAAGCGTAGGGTACGGGGCGGAAAAAAACCGGTCTGTGTAAAAAACATTATTTGGGTTAGTCTCTGCTTTAACATATCAAAGCAATTTCTTAGGTTTGTATTTATTTTTAAGATTTATATTTTTAGGAAAATTATGGATAATATATATTGATGGGGGAAGATTTTAAATGAAATTTTGGTTGAAAATATTGAAAATATTTAAAATATTGAAATATTGTAAAGATAAAAAGAAAAAGATAATTTATATATAATTTATTTCAATTCTTTCATCATTAAGAATCTAGCAACTCATTACTTCTTGATTTTTCCTTCTAAATTTTTACATTTTCTCTTTTTTAACAATGCTGTAGAATCAATGTTAAAATCAATTATCAAATCAAATGCTCTTTATTCACGCAGAAACAATACATGAGATAAATCAACATTACAAGGATTACATTTATTTATTAATGATCTACGTCTAGAGAACTATAGCTTCAGGTGTTTTCATAACAGCCTCCCAGTTACTCGAAAAAAAAGATAAGATGAAACACGGATACAGTATTGACGGTGTGGTGGTGAGTGGTTTTGATAGAACAGGTGGATCTGATAGAGGAGGACAGGGACATCAGAGCTGTTAATATTAATAAACCAGGGCAAGCTGAACTCCAACGAATACATAATCGTACAAATTTAGAATATATCATTTAATGGAAAGCTACATAAATTAATAAACATAATAATTGTATAGTCTCTTTAACTCTGTATATTTCAACCAACAACTTTCCTCTATTCGTGGACCTTAATTTTAATGTTTTTTTATAATAGAAAGGAAGTATTTGCCACGAACTCCAACTTTCTAATTCCTATATCTTTGCAACCTGATGGTGTAAACATTTGATATTTTCAACTTGAACATTGGGTTGCAAAGATATAGGAATTTGAAAGTCAGAGTGTGTGGCAACTCAAAAAAAAACATCAAATTGCTTTCAGTATATTCAATTAGTTATTAGGAACTCAAAAATATGTTTTTACAATTGCATTAACAGTAGTAATAGGCAGAGTATAGTTCATTGAAAAGCCGTTTTATTCCTTACTCATACTCATACTCTTTGATTAAACCTAAGCTTAGTTCATTAAACAATATGACAGAATTTAACTACCCTTATGACGGGAGAACTTCAAGATTAACCCTGTCTAATATACAGTGGGAACCAGAAAACTATGGAATAGTAAGACGACATTTAAAGCAAGAAATATTTGTATTTCATATTTGATGTGTGCAGGTTCAGAAGAAAATAGTTTTACTAGTGTAACATATTAAATCCTTCATTAAATGAGACTATTAACACCGTGCAGTTGTTGTGTCTCATATTTGCACTATTTCAAGTCATAAATTCAGTCTAAAAGTCGGCTAATTACGGTTATAGGGTTTATATCATAAGACATTTAACCCAACATAAGACATACACTCTGCTAAGAATCAACCCATAAGGTCCACGTTGTGTAACTTAAAAACGACCTTACCAATAGTTGTATAATGGTTAAAGGTGTTAGAATCCATTTTAAAAATCCTTTAAAAATCCTTTAAAACTCCCCTAAAAAAGTTACTCTAAGACATGTTTTAAGGTTTTCTATTTTTTCATTCTCTTTCAGGCAATTACAAAAATAAATATGACCTGGAGCCTCAACTTTAAACCAATATTCACGATTTTGGACAAATTATATATCTACTGAAAATTTCTGATCAAATGTTGTAAACTAGAGCCTTCTATCGTTTTTTAGTTTCTTGTCGTTACTTTATATGAATAACACGTGTCTCTCTTTAACTTAAACATTGATTGATAAAAAATTTATTAAATGATAATGACTAAAGTATAGTTCAGCCTAAACTACAAAATGTACATAATAAAGAACCATGAAATGATCTTTAATCTTCAATCATCAATAAGTTCCAGGTTTGATGCCGGGAGAAAGAACTTCTTATTTTTCTGAACGGATAATCTTTTGTCCTCTTCAGATCTTCTCCTGAAATCAAGTTTGAATAATAATAAACATTTTCTTTCGGAAGAAATTCAACGATTTTAATACAATATAGGGAGCCAAATTTTCTCAGTATTATTTTGTTCAAACGTTTTGTAATTTCGTTTAAACAAAAATTATTTCGATCTACATGTTTTTTTATTAAAATCTTTAGAGGATTTATATACTTTAAAGAAACTATCCAATATCTAGGTTTGGAAATGATATATTATGAAGAAATTATCCAATAGCTAGGTTTGGAATTGATATTATGTAGAAATTATCCAATATCTAGGTTTGGAATTAATATTAGAAGAAACTATCCAATATCTAGGTTTGGAATTGATATTATGAAGAAACTATCCAAGATCTAGGTTTGGAATTGATATATTATGAAGAAAATATCCAATATCTAGGTTTGGAATTGATATCATGAAGAAATTATCCAATATCTAGGTTTGGAATTGATATTATAAAGAAACTATCCAAGAGCTAGGTTTGGAATTGATATTATGAAGAAACTATCCAATATCTAGGTTTGGAATTGATATTATAAAGAAACTATTCGAATAATTTTCAATCTAAAATTTATAAACTTAGGTATTTAGCGACCTTGTCCTCAAAACCAGGAGACAATTTACATAAAAAACATGAGAAAGCGGTGGATAATGGTGGAAGTGGAAGAAAATGGTAGGAGTGGAAGGAAGGGGTAGGAGTGGAAGGAAGGGGTAGGAGCAGAAGGAAGGGGTAGGAGTGGAAGAAAGGGGTAGGAGTTGAAGGAAGGGGTAGGAGTGGAAGGAAGGGATAGTAGTGGAAGATAGTGGTATAGGTGGAAGGAAGGGGTAGGAGCAGAAGGAAGGGGTAGGAGTGGAAGAAAGGGGTAGGAGTTGAAGGAAGGGGTAGGAGTGGAAGGAAGGGAGTAGCAGGAAAGAAGGAGGGGTGAAGGGTTGGAGTGATGGAAAGAAGGAGGGGTGAAGGGTGGGCGAAGAAGAAAAGAAGGAGGAGTGAAGGGTGGGTGAAGAAGGAAAGGAAAAGGGGGAAGGGTTTAAGCTGAAGGAAAGAAGGAGGTGTGAAGGTGAAATATACTTTGAAATAATGTACTTTGAAATAATGTACTTTAAAATAATGTACTTTAAAATAATGCCCGACGAAGGTTTAATAGATAAGAACATATTGGAGGATTTAGAGGAGAGGAGGGAGGGAGGGTTACATAGAGCTATATAAACATTTAGGTAGAGAGGGGTTTAATAAATGTACGCAATAAATATACAGTGCGTCTCATTAAACATCTATATTTGTCAATTGAGCTAATATTTTATATTTTAAGCATGAGGGGGGGGGGGCTCGGAAGTAAAAGTTTAGTTTATTTTAAATAATTTTAAAATTAAAAAAGAGCTTTACATTTAAGTCATTTATAAAACAATAACTAACTTTAGTATTTTTATTTTTTCCACAAATAAAATTTAACTCCTCTGTCCTCATAGTGTAACAAAGCGTTTTGAAAACATAACTTATCACCAAACCTCTTAAACTTTCTTATACGAAAATTTATCTATTGAGAAGTAATCTGGTTTTAAGTAAACGTTGGCGCCATGGTTTGATAAAGAAAGAGGCGAAAGTTTGAAGGATTTTTAGTAAATAAGGCAGATAGGTTCTAAAACTTACATATTTTAAAAACACTCCAGGCCTTTTTTTCGAACAAGTTCAGTTTATAAATTCGTTTTTGAGAAAATTTAGCTAAAGAGTGTACCTGGATATAAGACTGTTCCTGCACTTGAACCTGGTGCAGGACCCTGGTTGAGAATATCCAACCTGACCGGCAGCTAGGATCTGGTTCTTTAAACCAGGGGTCAATAATTCATTTTCAAGAACAGTCCGCAGAAGTCTAAAATACGTTTCATGAAAATCTTTTTGTATACATTGAAAAAATTCTTTAAATATGATTTGTTTGTTAGTTTCGAATATTTTAACTCTTCTTTATTCATTCAACGCTTTCTGACTCTCCCTTATTCTGTCCAACTCTTTCTACCTCTTCCCTTTTATTCTAACTCTTTCTAACTCTTCCCTATTTATTCTAACTCTTTCTACCTCTTCCCTATTTATTCTAACTCTTTCTAACTCTCCCCTATTTATTCGGACACTTTCTTAAACTCTCTCCTATTTATTCCAACACTTTCTAACTCTTCCCTATTTATTCTAATTCTTTCTAACTCTCCCCTATTTATTCTAATTCTTTCTAATTCTCCCCTAATTATTCTGACACTTTCTTAAACTCTATCCTATTTATTCTAACACTTTCTAAATCTCCCCTATTTATTCAAACACTTTCTAAATCTACCCTATTTATTCTCTTTTTGACTCCCCCGAGTAATTTTAACTCTTTCTAACTCTCACCTATTTATTCTAACTTTTTCTAACTCTCCCCTACTTATTTTAAGGCTTTCTGTCTTTCCCCTATTTGTTCTTCTGACTCTCCATGCATCCACTTTTCATAATCTTCTCATTTTACTTCTACTTTGAATCCTAGATTCTCTTCTCCCTCTCAATACCCTTGAGAAATGTACATATTTAAGACAGGGAGATATATGTAGAATAAACAAAACTAATCTTAGAGCCCTAAACTTAAGACAGAGTATCGTAATGACACCCAGTATCGGAAACCCGTTTTCATGAATGGGTTCAGGCAGTTCTGTTAAGAAATATTATTTCATGTGGTTTCTTTACATTCTCTTTATGTTTTCTGAGTTCTTAAATTAAAATCTACGCAAATGTATAGACCCCAAAAAGGAAACTCGAGAGTTTTGTTCAATAATCTTAAATTTCCGGCTCTGATAAGAATGCCTAGTTAAATATTGGGTTTAGGATAACCTTGATCTGTGAAATACTGATAGAAAGTGTCAAATCTTTATCTCACAAGAGAGATGGTTACAGAGAATAGAAGCATATGTATTATAAGATAAAAGATATTTAGAGATGACGGAAGAATGAAAGATCGCCAGAGAGGACGGTGAAAGATGAAAGATAGGTAAAGAAGATGAAAGGATATGTATTACTAGAAAAAAAGATATTTAGAGATTAAAAAGAAACAAATTTTAGGATTGAAAATAGTTTAAGAGAATGGGGACTAGGTTCAGAATTAAAGGATAAGAATTAAGGAAGGATAAAGAAAAAAGATAAAGATTAAGAGAAGGATGAATAGGTAAAGGATAAGGATTAAGAAAATTGTAGGAAGGTAAAGGATGAGGATAAAGGGAAGGATGGAAAATAAAGAAGAATAATCAAGGGAAGGGAGGAGAATGTTAGGAGAAATGGTGTGTGAGGTGTGGATAGAAAATGATGATTAGGAGAAGGGGGGAGGAGAGAAAACAAAGATTAGGAAAAAGGGGGGTAATAAAGATAAGGAGAAGAGGGAAGGAGATAGAATAGAACTTAGGAGAAAGGGAAAGGAGTTAAAATTGAAATTAGGAGAAGAGGGAAGGAGATAGAATAGAGATTAGGAGAAAGGGAAAGGAGATAGAATAGAAATTAGGAGAAAGGGAAAGGAGTTAGAATAGAGATTAGGAGAAGATGGAAGGAGATGGAATAGAAACTACAGTGAAACCCTTAACCCTATCCCTATCACAGGTTAACTCATTCTTGGTCTGGGGGGCAGACATAACAGCTCCTAGCAGGCAGCACAATACAGCCAGTTTCAGCATTCTAGACAGAAATCAGTATAACGAGGATAATCATGTCAAATCAAAATCAAAGGAATTGAGTTCATGCCACGAACTCGGATTTTCTCATCCCTATATCTGTGCAACCTAGTGGTGGAAACCTTGAATATTCAAAATTAGATTTTTGAGTTAAACATAATTCNTACAGGGTGAACCTTTTATCAACATGGTATTCCTGGTTTTATACTTTTATCTACAGGGTGAACCTTTTATCAACATGGTATTCCTGGTTTTATACCTTTATCTACAGGGTAAACCTTTTATCAACATAGCATTCCTGGTTTCACAATTATATCTACAGGGTGAACCTTTTATCAACATAGCATTCCTGGTTTTATACTTTTATCTACAGGGTGTTCCTGGTTTTATACTTTTATCGACAGGGTGTTCCTGGTTTTATACTTTTATGTACAGGGTGTTCCTGGTTTTATACTTTTATCAATAGGGTGTTCCTGGATTTATACTTTTATCTACAGGGTGTTCCTGGTTTTCCACTTCCCACTCAGAAAATTTCTGTTTAATACGTTTAGCTTCAATTTTTAAAACCCGTAGACGTTTGGCCAAATTTATGTGTAATAAGTAATTCAATAAACATTGTAAAAAGCTGTACTGCAGCGGGCACTGACTAAACTTTTTAAAAGTATTTAGAAAAATAAAAAATAATTGACATCAAGATCGGTCATCTTCGTTTTTATTTCTAAAATGAGATTGATATTTTATACTTACATATTTGCAACCTGCTTCTCCAGTTTACTAATCTTGGTGGAGGTGGAGGTGTCGTAGACTAGGCAGCTCAACCTCTCCAGGCAGCCAAGCAGCTCATTAGATTTCAGGTTCGTCTCCTCCCCGCACTCCAGGTACCTACAAACATACAGACCAACTTTTAAATAAATCTATAACGGATTAATGAATTGAACTTTTTTGTTCTTATTAACACCAACAAACATTCGTGCAGTGAATAGTGTATAGAATGAGATGTATATTCTAAAATTTTATTTAGGTTCATCAAAAGACAGAATTAAGAGCAAGAAGATCAACTCCCATAAATTTATTTTAATTAGTTCCGTCCGATCAAAAATTTCCAAATTCTGTAAAAGAATTGAGTCTTTGTCACAAACTACAATTTTCTAATTCCAACATATTTGCCACCAGATGTTGTAAACCTTTGATATTTAAAACTAAGATAATTTTAGCTAAGCTAATTCATAGTTTGAAATATCTAAGGTCTACGACATTTGGTTGGGACGATATAGAGTGTAGAAAATCAGAGTTTGTGGCAAAGACTCAATTCTTTTCTTGAATGTAAAAAATACTCAAGATGAATTAATCTACAGAATTTGACATAGATGATAGATAAAGACATCTTGAAAAAATGCGTTATACAAAATATCCCTAAACCATGTCAAATATATGCTTGGACCCTTTTTTTGATTTTTTAGACTTTTTCTTAGCTTAGACTTTAACCAAGGACAAGACTAAAGTTCCATTAAGTTTATTAACGATATTATTAACAATTTACAGATGGAGGAACAATATACAGATGGAGGAACAATATATAGATGGATGAACAATATACAGATGGAGGAACAATATACAGATGGAGGAACAATATACAGATGGAGGAACAAGATGTCGCTTTCTTAAAGGATACTTCAATGCAAATTTGATTACAATTTTTCTTTTCATTTAATCTAGAAAAGAATTGAGCATTTTCCACAAACCCAAAATTTCTAATCCCCATATATTTGCAACCTGACGGTTTAAACCTTTGATAGTTTAAACTTAGATTATTTTATCTAAAAGAATTCATAGTTAAAAATATCTAAGGGTTGCAAATATATCGGGATTAGAAAATTAAAGTTTGTGGCAAAGTATTTAGATTGTTTCTAAATCGATCTGTAAAAACTAACTTTGAAGTATTTAAACATGTTTCCGGCATTATTAAATTTCATGAAAACCACCCCTGGGCCATACCAGGTCCCTGAGAAAAATATTACTTTTTTATCAGACGTTATTGACCTTTGAACAGACAAACAGGGAAGTAGACATTTATCAAAGTATAAATGGAAGTAAAGTATTTTATGACTGGTTGACTCGCATCCTTGAATTGAGAAACTAACCTTGCAACAAGATCTTTATGAAGATCTGAATGATTGAGCTCCTGAGCTTGTAGGAATGAATGAAGGATTGATGCGTCCTTGTTCAGGTTGGGTTCAGTTCTCCGGGTATCTTGTCTCCAATCTTCTTCTCCTGTTAGGTTGGAAACGGGAATTCCAAACTCAGAGCGTCTTTTTCTTAATAATATTCGTTTCGTTATTTATAAATACAGTGACAGTCCCTTTAAAGGGACTGTCAACGAAATTTTAAGGAGTGGCTCGATTCACAATGTCACTTTTTAATTAAACCTTCGTCAGAACAAAAATGGTTGAGATATCATTGTTCTTCATCTGAAAAAATTGATTATTTCCATTGTAGGTTGAAAGATGCTGTTGAGACGATGAGGGAATTCAATAGAATTTGTCATTTAAAAAAAGCTTCCTCATTTTTAAGCAGAAAAAGGTTTAAAAGGTTCCGTTTAAATCGGACATGCCACTCTAAAAATTGGAGAATTGATGAATACTTGTATAATTGAAGTATGTATGCAGTTTATGAATATTTAGAAAATTCCTCTCTTTGATTGATTTGAATGCTAAGTTTACATTTATAGATTTAAAAGTATTTGCATACAACTAGAGATAAATAAATTTCTATTGTGAATACATGTTCATAGGAACTCTAAATTGAAATATTTAAAACAATGAAAACTGGTTTCTTTTTAAATTTTCTTGTTAAATGCAATGCAATATAACTCATGAATCTTCCATAAAGTATTTAAGAGATAAGAAGAGTTCTATCTGATGTTCCTGTCTCGAGAAATTGACATAAAACTGTGTCAAATTTATACGAAAATCTATATATATAAAAATGTTGTAAAAAAATCGTAGGTTTAAACAGATCATATTCAGCAAATGATCAATCTGAAAACGACGATATCCCAGAGGAGCCTAATATTATTTGAATTAAATATTTTTTCATTTTTAAGAGATATAATTGGGCATATAATTATTACTTAATAACTTCAACCAATGGCAGTGCAGTACCTTTCTCCGTCTGTATCACGTGACCAGAATACTGCACTGCCATTGGAGGAAGTTCTGATAACGTGATTCGGACGTAGATCTTACATACATACGTCTTGGTATAATTTTGACACAGTTTTTTTGTCAATTTCTCAAGACAGGAACATCAGATAGATGTCTTATTTTTATCGTTCAACTCCTGAGGTACAGTTTGGTTGCACAAGGTTTTGAAAACGAATCAATAGCATTAAAAAAGAATTTTATCTAAAAGAAATTGACTTTATTTTACCCTGGTACACTACAAACTAAACTGCAGGGATGATAACTATTCACTTTAGCCTAATATGTAATTTTGACCAAACTATCAGGATTTAGTCCTTGGTCCGATTATACTAGGAATGCAAAATATTTGATTTTTGAAAGAAAAGGTCCAAATCAAACCAAAGTACGGTGCAGATGTGACGCCACAGTTTGAAAATACATTTTGTTCTATAGGTTAACCCTCTTCAGTTCTTGACATTTTTTACAAAACCTCCAAGTGTCTTTTTCTAGCTCTAAGTAAAGAGTTGTAAATCAGAAAAACCCCGCTTTTCTCAATCGGACTTTTGTAGCATATTATAGAGTTTAAAAAAACATTCAAAATTAAAGATTTCAGAAGAATCCGAATCGTGCATCTGATACCCCCCCTCCCCTTCCCCCTCCCCCGTCCCCCAACCTTTAATTCTTATTTCGTCAAAAGTTCATGTTATCTTTTTTTTCTTGTTAAATAATAAAATTTTACCTTTTCTTCCCTCCAGTAAGAGTAACTGTTACAGGCAGAGCCAATAGAGCAAGAGGTATAAGGGCAGCAAGAGGAAGAAGAGCAGCTAGAACTCCTAAACCTCCTAAAATAATATAAGAGGCTCCATATGAGACCATTGATGTTACTTATTTATTTAATTAATGTTAGTATTAACATACAAATGTTAATGTTAATTAATATTAACAAATAAATGTTACAGGTTAATTACATTATATATACTGACAATCATAAACTTTCACGAATTGTTAAAAGTCAATGTTAAAGTTTATGTTAATGTTAATGTCAATGTTAAAATTATATACTGACAATCATAACCTTTAATGACTTGTTTAAAGTCAATGTTAAAGTCACTGATAATGTTAATGTTAAAGTTAATGTTAATGTTAATGTTAATGTTAATGTTAATGTTAACTGGCTTGCAACCCTGAATACCTATTCAAGCCATTGTAACAAGGATATTAAGGGGTTTGTAACCCTAAATACCTATTCAAGCCATTGTAACAAGGATATTAAGGGGTTGGTAACCCCGAATACCTATTCAAGACATTGTAATAAGGATACTGAGGGGCTAGTAACCCTGAATACCTGTTCAAGCCATTGTAACAAGGATATTAAGGGGGCTGGTAACCCCGAATACCTATTCAAGACAATTGCATTGTAACAAAGATACTGAGGGGCTGGTAACCCTGAATACCTATTCAAGAGGATATTTGTTTTTGTACACCCTGGAGGTATTACTCGCTATTGGGCACCACTGTACAGGTCTGAAGATCCAACTCAAGTCTCTTTAGCAACTATAAAATTTTGTTCACTGATTATCAAAGTTTGCACAGTTCCCATGGTCTCAACAATGTTTTTGGTTCTATGACAACATGTGTAATTTGGAACGTTATAAACTTCAGGATTGCAACCCAGAAGATTTTACTAAAGAGGCAAGGCTAGGATTTTCAGTTTTTAATAGAATAAATGAGGAAGTTGATGCCCTTCATATAAAAAATCATGTTAGTGATATTTGTAGGGATGAATATCCAAAAATTATTGAAAAGCTCAGATCAACTTTTGATCATCCAAATACTGAGTCTGCAGAGCAAACTTTTCTTTGACTATAAAGGACGCTTTAAATGAGTACTCAACTCTATGAACAGAAGAAAACATCATTTTTTTCTTTGTCTATTTTTATAACATAAGTTTTTAATATATGTTTTTATTTTATTTAATTGTTGACCATTTACATTAACATTAACATTGACTTTAAACTATTCATTAAATGTTATGATTATCAGTAGGATATAATATTAACATTAACATTAACATTGACTTTAAACAATTCATCAATGAGTGGTATAAGAACTGTTCCTAAAACAATGAGTGGTATAAGAGCAGCAAGGGTATAAGAGCGGCAAGGGTATAAGAGCAGCAAGGGTATAAGAGCAGCAAGGTTATAAGAGCAGCAAGGGTATAAGAGCAGCAAGAGTATAGGGGCAGCAAGAGTATAAGAGCAGCATAGGTATCAGAGCAGCAAGGGTATAAGAGCAGCAAGGGAATAAGATCAGCAAGGGGGGAAACTGCTCCCAAGGACAGGTTCTTACCTCCTCCAGCAGTAGTTTGTTGATAAACATAAACAGGTCCACCTCCTCCTCCACCTTGGCATCCGTATCCATCACATCCACCACCATACCCTCCGCCTCCATAACCACCATATCCTGATCCACCGCCTCCATATCCACCGACAACTGTTCCGCCCCCTCCGCCACTTCCGCCGTCGAGAAACCTGCCTTCTATTTTCTCATGTTCAACGTATTCACTCATATCTAATTATAAAAATTTTATTTTAAATGTGTTCAACTATAAATATGCTTTGCTTGTCTGTCTAGTTGTTTGTTGGTTTGTATCCAATAAACGTCGAAGTAACTAAACCGATTAGGCCCAGATTTTGTGAGGAACCCCAAATGATCCCTGTCAAGGATGTAATGCAAGGAAAGTTATTTCAAAAGTGTGCACATCTTTTGTACTGCAGTGTACTGTCTCTGGGCGGTAATGTAAACACAAGACGGATGCTAAAGCCTGACATGGGATCCATCTTTCACATAAAAAAAATCCATGAAATATTCTGGTCATAGGAAACTATTATGTGAATTATCAAAATTTAATGCTTTTACCTCCTCGGATACTAAACGAACACTGATGCATATATTCTTGTTTACAAATTCCGCCCAAAGAGAACTGGTTTCAATGTGTAAGCAGAGTATACACGACCGCATTTAACTTTCCTTGCATAACACCCTTGATCCCGGGAAAATTTTATGGATGCCCAAAATTACAAAAAGTTGCCTCCAAAATTTTAGATTTCAGCAAAATTTTGAAAAACCACGAAAACCAAATTGTAAATCTGCAAAAAATGTTATTTTTGTTTTATCGATGAGAAAATTTGAAATAGAAGGTGGGCGCGAAGCACCCTAATAGCCTAGTCCTACTAACATTATCCACAAAAGTTGAGACTGCAGAGATGACATTACAGAATTTATTTAGTATTCAGTATTTAGTATTACAGAATTCATTTTTTTTTTCTAAATTTTTTAAAATCGCCTTTAAGTCTTGAAATCGGTTCATAAGCAAGAGCAGGATCGTATTTATTTCAAACCTTAATTTTCTGTTATCAAAAATTCTGTGTATGCAGTAGATGGAACTTAATTGTAAAACTTACTTCTCGACAAAAAAAATCCTATGAAACTAACGTTTTAAACCTAAACCTCTAAATCTAACCTTGAAAACATTTGCCGTAGAAAACTTGTGAAACCCATCTTTATGTTCCTATTTCTCTGGTGTAAAAACTTGAGAAACCAATCTTTTAACCCCCATTTCTCTGCTTTATATAAACCTATAAAACTTGACTTCAAAAACCTATGTCTCTGCTATAGAAAACCTACGAAAGTAACTTTTAAACCCTTATTTCTCTACTATAAAATACCTGTGGAACCAACATTTAAACCTATTTCACTAACTAAGAGAACCAAAGAGGCTGAATCATCGAAATATATTAAATTGTTAAAGGTAATTTTTCTATTTGAACGTGATCCGACATGATTTCCTTACTGTGTTTTATAATACTGCAACAAAGACCAGAATATATCAGTATAATCAGTTTGACAAAATTTAACCGAAAAATAAATTTTTAGTTTAAACAATAGTTTCACTACATGATCGATTGGAAAGTCCGATGAATTGAACCCAGGGCTCACGTGGATCTACTTCGTAGGTTCGTTGACATGAAGAGAAATCCAGGAAGTTTCTCTCCTAGAACTGCGTAAAAGCAAGGATAGGGATAAAAGACTGTTATCTCCAAGGTTATAATGCAAGGAAAGTTATTTCAGAGTTGAACGCATCTTTTTTCTGCAGTGTACTGTCTCTGGGCGGTAATGTAAACACAAGACGGATGTTGAAGCCTGACATGGGATCCATCTTTCACATGAAAAAATCACTCAAATATTCTAGTCATCGGAAACTATTATGTGAATTATCAAAATTATCAAAATTTAATGCTAAACGAACACTGATGCATCTATTCTTGTTTACAAATTCAGCCAGAAGAGAACTGGTTTCAATATGTACGCAGAGTATACGCAACTGCAATTACCTTTCCTTGCATTATAACCTTGGGTATCTCTAGGTGCACTAGGAAAACCAAAGAATAAACTTTCCAATTTCTAATGCATAAGCTGTCATGATAACAAGAGCACCCAGGAATTCAGGAAGACAAATATATAAATGTTAAAAAATATATTTGGCTCTTTTGAATGATTTAGTTGGGTAAATAGAGGATTAAAATCTATTTTTCCATCTGCGTTTAAGGATTTGCGGTTTCTATACTCAGGAATAAACTTCGTCGCTTCTTTTGAGTCTCAAGTGACCNGAATTGTACAAAAACTGAACTAATGAGAGGACGTTGAAATGAAATTAAAAACTAAGATTTATCAATTTAAGTCTATGGAATGATTACAATAACAATATAAAACATTTTAATTGTACGAGCACAAAGTTCAGTTGGGGGGAAATACTGTGTCTGCGGAGTTATACATATTTGCCCAAAGAATTAAGTCTTAACTATTTTTTTTCTCAAATGAATTTTCCTGAAGGTTAGCTTAGGCTAAAAGAGACATTTTTTGTTATAGTTTATGATTGGTTCTGTTGGGCTGTTTGGGATAGTAATACTTAGGAAATCTAACATTTGTGAAGTTTCCACTTGGGAAGTTGCAGATTTTGTTAAAGTTTTGTATTTGGCTGAAAATAATGTTTGAAAAGGTTCCATATCTCCTCCAACCAATCTTAATCCCTCACCTCACACTAGATGTTTAGATTACTCCACTTGAACCTGGATATACAAACTAATCACAGTTTCTCAGAGTTCGTCTTAAATACTTGAAATTTAGAATGATTAGAACAGTTAAGAATGTTTTTGTTAATCCTTCTACAGGTTCGGTATCTCTTATCACTCCAGATTCACGCATAGTGGTTTTTCTCTTGACCTTGTTTCTCTAATCCTCATGATTAACCTTAGACCTCTTGATTCTAAAAGAAACCCTACCGGTCCTCTCCTCATTATCAACCAAGTTTATCCTGGTCGTACTTCTCTTAATCATCTCATCCTAATCATCAACCCAACTTCTCCTGGTTCTTCCAAAGAAAACCAACTTACTTCTTTACTCCAAGATATGAAAATCAACCTACTCCTCTACTCCAAGATATGAAAATCAACCTTCTTCTCTACTACTGGTCGAGTTTATAAAAATCAACTTACCTATTTGAAGTTTTAAGATTTGTTTATTGCAGCTTTTCTTGTCTACTAAATGAAATTTTGTTTATAAACGGTCTTTGTAATGGCATCGCATTCATCGCATCCCTTAATAAAAGAGTTGGTCCTATTTCTTCTGACGAGAAATCCTTTGAACCCTTCAAACTTATATTTTCTCTGTTCAAAATTTTTCATTTGGGGTTTAAATTTAGAAATTATGAAAGGCCCCCCGCTTCGAACTTTTTAGTTTAAAATCACAGACTAACACAGACTGCTCATACGCTCTCACAAAATAGTCTACTAGGCCTTTTGTTGTCCTGGCACGCCATGCTACTTTTCCAGGATTTTTTTTTAATGCCATCTAAGGGCCATTTTTTGCATATAATACCCATTCATGGAATAAGTTTTACAACTTTTAAAGAAATACTGCCATTTTTAACATGAAACATTAAATTTATGAATTTATTCAATTTTGGAATATTTTGTATTTCGTATCCAAAGGATCCTTAAATATCCCTGAATACAGATGCCTGTTGATTGGTCGTGCACTCCAGTTGTATACAATGGAACCTGCTGTGGAAAATATCGCATTTACTAGCAAATAAGCAGTCTTTGTTAGTCTTTATTAGTCCTGAAACTAGAGTATTTACAAATGTATATTTTGCTTTCTTCTCAGTAAATCGGGCATTTTTCCTTTTTTCATTTGCGTCATTCGACATATGTCAATGTGCACATATATTTTACAATGAAATATTATTTGTATATATATATATATATATATATAATATATATATATATAAATAATATAACATATAATAGCTTTATACAGACAAATAAACAAGTCCGAATTGTCATGAAATTATATGAATGAAACAACGCAATAACGCTGTCCATGGTAACCTGCATGATCATGGAGAAAAATTTCGGCAGTCTCATTCCTCTATTTGCAAGTCCATTGCCACGTTCTTCATGCAAGGATTATTTAGTTTTGCAGGAGCGCATGACTCTCCAAACCCCACTCTCTCAGCTCTAGTTGTAGTTTCTTGCCAAGGATAGGTTTATTCTTCAATTAGATCCGGAGAAAAACCAACCCTTTGTAGAGATCTTTTCAAGGACAGAAAACAGAATTAGGATAAGGAAGGATTAGAATAGGTATGGAAAACTGACACACAAAATATGGGGATAAGGATAGGATAAGGATAAGGATAGGATAAGGATAGGATAAGGATAGGATATAAGGATAGGATAATAAATAAGGGTATATTGATACGGAGAAGAATAAATATAGGATCGGATTAGATATGGCTAATAAAAAAATTAGGTTTTGGATAAAGATCAGAAAAAATTTAATATTCTCTAAAGTTTTGTTATTTTTTCTGTATTTTTAGAAATCTTTAAAAAACATGGCCTGTTTTTTTTTGTTATTTATTTTCCAAGATTTTATCTTTTTTCAATTAATCTAGTAATTAAAAAAATTAAGTTCTTTCTTGAATATATTTCCTTTTCACACCTGCAAATAAAGTACAAATACCAAGACAAAGATTGTATTAGGGTTAAAACCAACTGAAGAATTAAAACGTAAAGTTTGACAAAACAATTCTTCGATTGGGTTTGGAGATCTGATAGAGTACGTACTGTTTGCTCAGTTTCTGATTTTTTACAGATATTTTACAGAACACTTATATCATAAAATATATCTTACAATAAGAGGTTATACAGCACACGCTTTATCAAATCTATAAGATACCAAGCCAATCCCTAGCAAATGAAAAAGAAAAAGATTCTGCGAATTGTACAAAAACTGAACTAATGAGAGGACTTTGAAATGAAATTAAAAACTAAGATTTATCAATTTAACTTGAACGTGCATATTTGTAACTTGATGTAAAAAGGAATATAACTTGATGTATAAAGTAGGAATGTAACTTGATGTATAAAGTAGGAATGTAACTTAATGAATAAAGTAGGAATGTAACTTGATGTATAAAGGAATGTAATTTGATGTATAAAGGAATGTAACTTGATGAATAATGTAGGAATGTAACTTGATGTATAAAGTAGGAATGTCACTTGATGAATAAAGTAGGAATGTAACTTGATGTATAAAGTAGGAATGTAACTTCATTTATAAAGTAGGAATGTAACTTAATGTATAAAGGAATGTAACTTGATGTATAAAGTAGGAATGTAACTTGATGTATAAAGTAGAAATGTAACTTAATGTAAAAAGTAGGAATGTAAC